ATATTAAGTGTGATGACCCATCCTTTTTCTAAAATTAATAGATTTAATTGAATAATAATTTTTTATTTTTTTTTTTGTTTTTAATAAAACTTGGTACATAATATTCAGTAATCATAATAATGATAATATTAAGGGGAATGAGTGCTCTTTTTCTAAAGGTGTAATCTAACGGTAGTGAGTGCTCTTTTCCTAAAATTAGTTTTATTGATTAATAAATTTTATCTTTAATATATATCTGCTTTATATCTTTTTGAAAATTTTTCTTAATATCTGGAAAAATTTCTTTTGCACATGTAAGTCAGAGAAAGTTAATTTCATTGTCTTTATGATACACTGTTCAACTTCAGAAATTTGAACTCTTTAGTCTAATATTCATACACACACCGAGAGGGAGGGAGAGAGAAAGAGATAGCTGTAAATAATCAAAGAAATGTCACGAGCAGAAATTTTATGCCACATCATAACTGAGCAAAACATATGAACAAGAGGTTCATAATTGGGTTATCAACTTGTCCAATGCAAAAAAGACAAATTAACAATATTACCACAGCACAAACTTATCATTACAACTACCTTATTCAAGTGCCAAATACAAACCATAGTAGTAAAAGTAACTTCACTCAATTCNCAAACCCTAATCATTCTTAATAACTCTACTTAACTAATTAATCAATTCAAACAAACCACAGAAAACACACGAAATTCGAAATAATGTTTTTACGAATCAACCGTGAACCATGCCAGAAGAAAGAGCCATGAGCAATATAGCAGCATCCTTTTCTTCCTCCGGAAAAACATGGTGGAAAGACAAAGTCTTGCTAAGATTGACCAAGAAATCCTCGAACCCGACCTTTTTATTGCCGTTAGACTGCAACCCAGCTTCATTAGTTGTGGCCTTGAACCGTTTCTTCAAGTGCGCGTTTTTCACTTTTAACTTTATTAGCTTTGGAGTCTGGTGGTCGCTTGTAGTAACGACCGTGCCGTTGGCGGCAGCTGCTGCTGCCGCCATAGCCCGCCTCGCTTTTCGTTGCCTAATTCCACACGCGTTACAAAGGGACTGTCCAAACAAAAAAATAAAACAAAATAAAATAAAAACATATTATATAATCATCTCACTCGATCGATTTATAATAAAAGAAAAATAGACTAGAACTTTTTTGGTTGCTTTATTTGATTAATTACCTTAGGTCCTTTAGGACCACTTCTCCAAAGAGGAGTCTTGGTGGTGTTGCAATCAGAACAAACCCTAACCGGAATGTTATTAGCCGTGTAGGAGAACCTCGAATTATCGCTCTCGAAAGAAGACGTTTGAATCTCGTGCTTGTTTTTGGTTATCTTTATAGTTACGCGATCTGGGTTGCTCTTGATCTTGTGCATCACTCTCATCTTGGACGACATCCACTTCACGGGACGATGAGTATTATTATCGGCATGTTCTTCGCCATCTTCTTTTTTCCATAGGGTTACTTTAAGCCCACTTTCGTCAACCCTATTGTTCTTCATCTCATATGTTGATCCATGATTGTCATCCTAATTAACAAGATCAAATAGAGAGATGGTTAAGTTAAAACAAGATCATTGAATTTACTCTTTAACGAATTTTTAGTAGCGCGTAAAACGTACCGAAATATGTTGAGAAGGGTATACTCCCGAGCAGTTGTCGTGATCATGATGAGTAGAATCGAAGAAAATACGGCACGAGACAGAAGATGACGAAGGATTATTATTATTATTATTCAGGCCGAAAGGCGGCGGATCAAAACTATTGTTGCTAATTTCGTGCTGCATCGGGGAAGGTGAAGGCGTCGAATTTAAATTAAAATACATTGGAGAATCTTTTAAAAGCAACTTTTATGTTGATGAGTGAATGTTCAAGTGCTAAGTTTGTTTAGAGAGAGAAAATGGTAAAAATGTCAAATGTGTGTGTCTCTGGAAAGGGCGTAACGAGCAAGAGGTCCACAGATGTTTTAAAGGCAATTGTGAGAAAGAAAAAAGAAAAAGAAAAAAATTCTGACTTAGGCATTCACGTGAAATGCAGACAAACAAACAAACAAGTGTTTATATAAAAGACAAACAAAAAAAGGGAGGAGGAGAATGCAACCACACGACCGTTTTTTGACAGAGCCCTATCTCTTAAAGCTTTCACGCTTTACAGTTTGAGTTTCTCCACATAAAAACTATAATGTTTTTTTAATAGTTAGTACTTTGTTTTTTTGTTTTTATTTTTTAAATAGTTAGTACTTGAAATGCATGATATTTGAGTTTATACGTGTTTTTTGGTAGCCACACATGGGATTAAGTGATCGTCCTTTATTAAATAAATTTGCTTTGATGGCCAAGTTAATAATCATTGGAGTACGATGATGTTGTGTTCGGATAAACGGTTTGAGGTGCGACTAATTTAATTGCCTTTTGTTTTTTTTTTTAAAAAAAAGCCCATCATTGCCTTTTTATTTTCTTTCTACTAATTTTTCATTGTTAATGAGTGTATAATAAAGGCCCTGAAATTATAGAAATAATTTCAAAGGGTAATGGAAATCGAATATCCATATGAATTTATGAGCAAAATTGTGGGTAAAATCACATTTTACCTATATAATCATGCATAAGCATAGGAGCTAAGCTGGTGTTGCAGTTTCTGGTGCTGAATCTTGTGCCGTGGTCCGGTCTCGTTGGTGGTCGATCGAGGTGTTACCGTCGAGGACTGCTTGGTGTGTTAGTCTTGTGGGGAAGGGTTTTATTATTATTTTCGTTCTTCCGTTTATTGAGTTTGTATTTGTGTGATTTTTCTGTATTTCTCTATGTTTCTCTTTTTTTCTTTTTGCTAGTGTTATTATCCATTTGAGATATAGATTCTCCTGTTGGAGTTAGTTATTATTACATATGATGGGTGCATTGTGATGTTTAGGTTCCTTCTGGAGTGTCCTTTCACTAGATTCGACTTTTGGCTGACATCTAGATGTAAATATGGGGTACTAGTTATAAAATTCATATCGCTCCCAAAAAAAAGGCAGAATCTGGTTTTTTGGGGGAGATAGTGGAAAAGTAAGGTGAAGAAAATAGAAAATAAGTGAATTAAATAGTTAATTAGTCTAAGCGATGGGCCAAATATTGCCAAAACAAAGTCATTACTGCAAAGCAACAAGCAATACACAACGACAAGAGTTAAGAGAAGAAGTACATCATTGCAGAAACAAAGTCATTGCTACAAAGGCCCAAGTTTGGGCAGTTCGGTTACACAAAAGAAAAAAGCTATGGAACAGATGATATCCCCTCCTCACCAGACGGGGACGGGTCTGTAACCCAGCCTAAGTGTCGCTTGACTGCCGCCACGACGTGCTTCCACCAGGCATGGTGGCGTGGCTCTTCTAGGTTGCCTTCCCAGACATTGGAGTTTGAAAGGCCTTGCCACATCCGATCCTCGTCAAAGTCGCCAGCACAACCCCCGACAACATCTTAGCCCATAGCCCGTTGGATGCCGACCTCTAGATAATGCTGGGCGGCTGGTACCAACAAGTGCAAGAACTCTTTTGAATTTTTTAAGCAGGCCAGAAGCTCTTGGCGGCAATGCTCGAGAAAGCTCTTTCCCGGATCAGAATCGGGAAAAGAAGGTAAACTGTCTTTACTTGCCTTAGCTTCGCGCTCGGCCATTGAAGTGACCAACTTTCTTAGTGGAACCCGCAGTTTAGAGGCACTCTCCACTTCAGCACGAAGCCCGAAAAGCTCGGTCAGAATTCTAATCAACTCAGTCCTCATAGTCTTGGTCTCCTTTTTCACTTTGGAGGCAGTGGCCTTTAACTTGGCCCGTTCATGGTCAAGGGCTTGCTCTCGGGCAGTGAACTCAGCCTTTAACCACTTATTCTCCATCGTGACGCCCTCGCCAGACAGCTCCTCGTCCAAAAGCGGATCAAGC